TATATGAATATGAGAAATCCATCAAGTCTTAGCTACTGATTAAATATGAAGGATGACAGAAGAAGGAATAATAGATGATAGCACCATTAACAAAAAAAATGCAGTGGTCTCTTCCAACTTAAAACAAAATGTAACAAACAAAAACCTGAGAGAACCTTCTCTGGATTCTGCACTTTAACTTCCAGCTATGACCTGCTCCCCTTTTCTCTTCACAGCCAAACTCCTTTAAACTTCTCTTCATTCACTGTCTCTGTTTAATCTCACACTTATTCTGAAAAATGTCTTCTGCTCCAAATGCACTGAAACTAATGTTTAAAATCACCATTAACCTATGTTGCCAAATCCCATGAAAATCTCTGTCTTCAATATACTCAGCCTCTAGGTGGCATCCACCTCAGCTGACTACTCCCCTCCTCTTTTTTATACACCATGAAATGTTGTTTAAGAATACAAACTGGAGCCAGACAAACCTGGGTTCAAAAACCAATAACCTCTCCAGTTATTATCTGGTGGTCTGGGACAAATTATATAGCCCCTTCTTATGTCGTTTTCCTGATCTATAAAATTGAGATAATGAAAGCACCTACTTCATAGTTACAAGCATTAAATGAATAAAAACACACTAACACTTAACACAGTGCTTGATAAACAGTAATTACCACAGTCCCTTGGCTTCTAAGACATCACTACTCTCTTGATTTTCCTCATACCTCCCTGGGCCCCCTTCATTCCCTCTGTAAGCTACTCCATGTCTACCCAACTTCATTTACCATAATATGCCAACGAGACACAGGTATATGCCAAAAAGCCCTTCCTGTGGTCCAGAATCATAGTCCGCTACCTACTCAACAGTTCTAACAGTTCTACCAGATGTTTCACAAGTACCTCACATTCAATCTGTCCAAACTTGCTCAAAACTGAGCTTATGCTCATCCCCTCAATCTCCATACCTGCTCTTCCTTCAGTGTGCCCTATTCTCAATAAAAGGACTATTACACCACAAGCCATTCACATGAGAAAACCTTGTGTCACCCTCCCACACATCCAAGGAACCAAAGTCCTACAATTTTGTTTTCTAAGTATTTCTCAAAACCTCCCTAATTCCACTATCCATATTCTCAACCATACTTCCATCGTTTCTTATCTAAATAACTGCAATAGCCTCCTAATTTGCATCATCAAATCCATTCTCTCTCCCTCCCTGATCCTTTCTCTATACTGCAGCTGTTAATAGCTCACGCATATTACTCCTCTGCTAAACTTGTGCCTTCCCACCGTCTTCAGAATAAAGCCCTACTTGACCTGACCCCTGACTACCTTGTCAGGATTTTAATTCTCTCCTCCACTTACTTCTCTGCAGTTACCCTAGCTTTTTTGGTTTTGTGTGGTTGGTAGGTTCTTCAAACAGGTCAGATTCCTTCCAAACTCAGGGTTTCTACATATGCTAATCACTTCCTTCTTGCCAGGTTATCTCTTACGCATCCTTCAGGTCTCAGTTTTAAAAGCTTTCTCAGAGAAAGCGTTCTCTGATGCCTCCTCCCACTCCTGAAATTTAGATTAGGTCACCTTATCATATATTCTCACTGCATCCTATATTTACCTTTGTAGTCCTTTGCGTATCTATGATTGACATTACTAACAGAAGTATTTAATTACTGACTTCCCCACCAGACAGACTGGAAGCTTCACAACAGAGGGACCATGCCTGTCTTACTCATCACTGTATCCCAAGAGCTTTGCATGGTGTCTGACACAAAGTTAAGTGCTTGTAATATTTTCTCATTCATACCACAGGGCTTTGCATTAGCTGGTCCCTCTAGCCAGAGCTCTGCTGACCCAGATCTGGTCCCCTTAAGCCCTTGAACTTCACAAGAATGGCTCCTCACCACTCAGGTCTCAGTCACAAAATGCCATCTTCTCAGGCAGCCTTAGTAACCATCAATCTAAAGGAACAATCCTCACCCAAACAAGTACAGATGACCCTTGAACAACATTGGTTTGAACTGCATGGGTTCACTTACATGCAGATATTTTCCGATACATAGAAAATATATGTTTGTTGGCTGTGTATGTTACGGAAAGCTTCTGGTCAAAATATGCTATTAGTACTTAAGTTGTGGGGGAGTCAAAAGTTACATGTGGATTTTCAACTGTGCAGAGGGTCAGGGCCCCTAGCCCCTGCTTGTTTAAGGGTCAACTGTATTTCATCACCCTCTTAATTTCTTCAAAGCACTCATCACTACTTGAAACCACAGTATTTGGAAGTTATAAAAAAGTAAGGCCCAAGTAAAGTAGCTGTCACAGTATAAGCACCTAAAAAACATTTATGCGAATGAATATCCTGAATGAGAAAATATTACCTGGGGAATACCCAAAGTTCATCAACAAAACATATACAAACTGTCCTCCAACAAAGTCAAAAAGAGGCAGTATAGCTTAGAAGGCTTGGGAGCCAGACTACCTGCTTTGAATCCTCCTTGTCTTCTTAACTGGATAACCTCAGACAAGTTACTTAATTGTACTATGCCTCAGTTTCTAAGCCAGAAAATGGGAATCATAGAGCCTATCTCAAAGGGTTGCCAAGAATTAAGTTAGTTAAAATGTGTAAAGTGCCAGTACCAGGCACATAGTATATACTCAATGTGTACTATTATCCATCAGATTGGGCTTCTTCCTACCTTGTCTCAAATATACGGGGTGACTTTTCCTTTATCTTATCCACCCAAAAAGGCTCACAATTTTTGTTGTTGTTGTTGACCACACAACTCCAAGGGCATCTTTCAGCAGATTAAGATATGTGAATGGCACCTGCTGGAATTGTGCAATATGGTAGCATCAACCTCAAGTTCTGGCAACCCCCCAGAATTATGATGATCAGAAGATTAAGAGGATCAAAAGACACAAGAAACAGAGAAGTACTTTGGAAACTATAAAAGTACTTTAAGTGATCACTATATTTATGAATCTACATTCTCTTGAGGTCACTGTCAGAAGCAAGAGTGTTGGCCAGATTACTGCCCTGACAGGACAGAGTTCCTAACTTCTGAGATCTAGGGATATAAAGAGATGGATTAAGGTTGAGGCTACATACTGAATTCACACTGAGGGCCACAACCAGCTCATGAAGTTGTTTCTTAAAAATGATCATAGGGTATTGAGCTACAGTGCAATTCACTGTATGTCAATATTTGCTCACATCAATACCACAACTTTTAACTCATTTTTCTATCCTTCAGAGAGAATATCAAAAGGAAATTTCTTGTTGTAATCAATACAATGAATACTTACTTTGGTTATCCAAGTAAGTTGCTTTAGGATAAGTTAAAAGGAGTAATAAATCTGCACCTTGGTCGAGGATTTTCCATACCATTTAGTTTTGTGAAAATTTGACAGCAACAACAAAACCCTTTATGCTTACTTTGAGCAAAGCCCTGCGAAAGGGAATCTGAGAGTGCTTCTGAGATGTTTTGTGTTAAACTTAAAACTCTAAGATTAACAGCAGAAAACCAGGATGGAAACGTACACAGAACCTATCTACTGGGTATTTCTCTTTAAATAGGGATTTTCAGGGGTGCCTGGGTGGCTCAATCGTTAAGCGTCTGCCTTCGGCTCAGGTCATGATCCCAGTGTCCTGGGATTGAGCCCCACATCGGACTCTCTGCTCAGCGGGAGGCCTGCTTCTCCCTCTCCCACTCCCCCTGCTTGTGTTCCCTCTCTCGCTGTCTCTCTCTCTGTCAAATAAACAAATAAAATCTTGAAAAATAAATAAATAGGGATTTTCAATCTCGCATTGTTGACATTTTGGACCCAATAACCCTCTGCTGTGGGGGGCTGACCTGTGCATTTAGGATAGTTTAGAAGCATCCTTAGCCTCTACTCACTAGAATACCAGTAGTACTCCCCTAGTCTGACAATCAAAAAAGTCTCAAAAAAAAAAAAAAAAAAAGTCTCCATATATTGCCAAATATCCCAAGGGGGCAAAAAATCACACCCAGTTGAGAACCCCTGCTTTAAGTAATCTGTTCCACTTTTTTTTTTTTTAAAGATTTTATTTATTTATTTGAGACAGAGAGAATGAGAGAGAGAGAGAGCACGTGAGAGGGGGGAGGGTCAGAGGGAGAAGCAGGCTCCCCGCTGAGCAGGGAGCCCGATGCGGGACTCGATCCAGGGACTCCAGGATCATGACCTGAGCCGAAGGCAGTCGCCTAACCAACTGAGCCACCCAGGCGCCCTCTGTTCCACTTTTCTAAAACATCCACCCAATGTCCTCTCCTCTCCTTTTCAAAACTCCCTCCTGATCTTGCTGATAATGCAGACTTAATCCCAGAGTCCACCTTAATTCTTCATTTGTCTCCAAAATCCTCAGAAATCACTAAGTACAACTCCTTCCATGACAGGTCAGTTCTCTTGTTCAAAACAGCTGGTGATAAAGTTGACACTAGGACTCAGCACTCATGATCCTCAATCAAGAACTCTTTTCCATAACATGCTGCTATCCATCAGTCAGCAAGTTTTGTCAGTCCTTCACTTCCTTTCCATTTCTACTAACTGTACCCCAGAACAGTGGCTCTCAAACTTCTGCATGTAATGGAATCACCTGGCTTGTTAAAACGCAGATTGCTGGGCCCCAATTCCAGAGTTTCTGATTCAGTAAATACAGGGCAGGGCCCCTCAAATGTGCATTTCTAACATGTTCCCAGATACCCAGATAATGCTGAGGCTGCTGGTGAGGGAACCACACTTCAAGAACCACTGCCCTAGAGATCAGGTACCTAATACCTTAAGAGGTAACTTATTTCAATATTCCTTTGGACACATCCCTGACTTGAAACTGCAAAAATATTATTCCTAAAACACCACTTTGATCAAATTACTATTTGATTAAAAACAAACCACAACTTCCAATGACTCTCTATTTTCCATACCTGGAAATTTTCTACTTTAGCCCTATGAATCTAATGAATGTCCTCAGACTAGGCCTTATAAGCATCCCATTCCATAGTAAAGCTTAGGCTGTCTTTACCTCCTGCAAGGCCACCCTCTTCCCTCCTCCTCTCTACCTACCTGAAGGAGGCCTTCACCACTGTATTTGCCAAAACCACTCGCTTGGTCACTATCTGCTGCCTTTTTTTATGGTTTAAGTTTTTACCAAGTACTCACAGATAGAGAAAACCCCCAAGAACCTAAAATTTAAAACAGAAAACAATGATATGAGTGACATGCATAAATAAAAAGCTGGACATATACACAAATACTGCTGTTTTAACAGATCAAGTGCAATAAGTTCAAAGTTCACAAAAAGAATGTGCCACCTTTTTCTAACATGATGAAACACTGGCTGTCAAATATTTGTAGCTATCTCATTTAGGATGTTAAGCAGACATCTGTAAGGGAAGAAATTTTAAAAGTAGCCTCAAAAAAAGAGAAAGCACTCAGTCTGCAACTTCCTACAACAGAAATGGGTATCATTTGTTTTCTGTATGAAATAACACAAGAAACATGGGGTTCAAGGTCTGCTTCCACCCCTCACCAACTTGGTGATCTTGGGCAAGTCACAGACCAAAAACTCCATTTCCATAATTAAAAAAATTAAAATTTAAAACTATACCATCTACCTTACAGGCCAGTTTTGAGGATTAAACAAGATAATGTGTATGAGAGAACCTAGCCTCGTACTCAGCACATAAATACTGAATTGATGTAAAACCACAATGTGACAATATAGTATTATTCCAAAAATGAGATTACACAGGGCAAATTAATGAAACCTAGTCAAGGATGTCCGTTTACAAAGAAAAAAAAATTTTTTTTTAAGATTTTATTTTTATTTATTTTAGAGGTAGGAGGAGGCAGATGGGGAGGGAAAGGGACAAGCAGACCCTTCGCTGAATGTGGAACCTGATGCAGGGCTCAATCTCAGGACCCTGAACTGAAACCAAAAGTCAGCTGCTTAACCAAATGAGCCACCCAGGCACCCCAAGAAGAAAAATTTTAAAGATATAAAATAATGGCATGTTTCTCTGTATGGTATACGGTAAATGTATCAATTATTTGTCTTGCTTAATGGCCAAAACGAAGACTTGAGAATAACACAAACACCATCACTAGCAACTTCACAACTTTAAGTTGTCTAAAAGCCAGCAAAAACCTTGAAACAGAAGATTTACATAGGATTAAGGGAAAAACTTAAAATTCAGACTGAGCTTTTAAAGTTAACTAGACATTTTTTTCATTGGTTTTAATGGCCCAAATACTATAAATGTGTTCATCTGGCATGTGTGTTAAGTATAAATTTTTTCTGTCATAGCTTAAAGCTTCTGGTTCTATGCACACTGCAAGACCTAATACCCAGATATTTTGCTCATCCCTACACACAAACTCTCCTCCATTCCAGTGACTTATTGCTGGCCCTCAAGAAACTGGTAGCAAAGAAAAGTATTTATCAGGGCTTTCAACAATATCAACAGATACTTATTAAGCACTTTCTGTGTTGTAGATGGAGTACTTTCTCTTTTTTTGAGGCTACTTAGAGCACTTTCTATGTGTCAGGCACTATTCGAAGCATCCAGTATATACCATAAACAAAACAAAGTCCCAACTCTCAAGGAGCTTACACTCCAAAGGAGAGATATGCACAAACAAAACAAACAAGTATGATAATGATTAGTGCTCAGCAAAATAAAACAAGAGAAAGTGATAGGGCTTAAATACAGTCCTCATTATGGGTCCCCAAAATGTAGCTTACTGTGGAAGATTGATGCATAAGAATAAAGAATTAGCTCCCTCATTATATGCATTTTGAATCACCCAAAAATGGGCAACAAGTTTTTCCTACATCATCAGGAAGGAGGCTGCAACACTCAGAACAATGTACTCCTCCACCATCACAGATTGAAGGTTAAGTCTAATGAAATAATTATAAATAAGCAAATTCAACAGTTTAGACCACCTATAATTATTTTCTAATTGTTAACAATATGACATTTTCATGCTAGGGAAAATACGGCTTAAAACTAGGATTTTATTTTGCCTAGTTCGTTCCTGGTCAGAAAGACCTTACTGAGAGTGGGGTCATTCAAAGTGGGACTGTTTGTAAAAGGGATAATCTGGTAATTGATGCTGAATCTGAGGAGACAATTTTTAAGTGTAACCCAAAGAATGGTGAGAGTATCATTAGGGCTTCAGTGCCCCAGTTTCTTACAAAAGATAAATGATTTAGCTATTTCAAAGAAAAACATATGTAAGAAATAAACAGCATTGAACCTCTAATAGTATAACATCCTTTAGAAAATCTCTTAATCTCATCATCAAGATTGACAATCAAACTGAATTCTCAAGAAAATCAACATCTCTCCTTCAGATAACACTACTAGACTTAGGTGAATTCAAGAGAAACAAATATTCAGGTTACATAACTTCTTTTACCCTGAAGTATATTGTCTTCACTTTCTTTTACATTGATTTAGGTGTCCATTTGTTTCTACAATTGCCTTTGGCAGGAGCTAATGAATTTTTTCCATACTAAATTTAATGATATGTACAATATATTAACAAGTTAAGGGCACATATCATAGTCCAGTGTATTAAAATATATAACAAAGGTCATCTTTTCCAAAAAAAAAATGAAAAAAGCCCCAAGTTAAAACGATACTACATAGCATAGAAATATTAACGTAAGCACTTCGATGCATGCTATTTTGCCCTTGATTTTCTATGCAATAAGGATTACTCAGAATTGGTATGATTTCAAAAACCTAAAAGATCATCAATTATAACTGCTAAGGATCTAATTAACATTTTAGATTAAGTCACTGTAAGATACTATGCTGAATATTCCTTACAATACTTAAATATACATGGATAGAAACAAACATCTAAACCTACTCCAACACTTTAGCTGCTGAAATCAAATGAAGAAAAAAGGAAGTTCCATCTTTAGTACTTGTCAATATTTCTCAATTAGGTCCTCCAACTAAATTTACTAAAAATACAGAAATAAATCCTCTTTACTCAGGACAACCAAATACCCACCCATTGCCGAAGCTGAAGCTTCTATCCCTCTCACTTGAATACCCTTTCCAGGTACATCAACTTGCCTTAGAGATCTGTCTGGCTTTGTTCTAGGAATCTATACACAAAACTACTAATCTTTTCATTAAAAAACAAAACAAAACTATGTCTTGCTTAAGAATAGTAAAACATCATTCATTTCCCACACTGCAAAACAAGCATTCTAGTTCCAGAAAGTAGAGCTTATGCCCCAAATCTATACATATACACCAACTTCAAAGGTAAAATTCTCTTCTACATGTAATAAAGTTTGGCAAGAGGCAAGCCATTTTTTTTAAACTAGCTATTTCCGACTTTAAAAAATGACTTGTCACAAAGTTGATATAAACATATCAAAATTTACCAAATTCAGCCTGTGCACTCGAAATAGCTATCTCAGTAAGAAGCATTAAAATGATTTATTTCAATTTTTAATAGTATTCTTACTAGTAAGAATACTTTTTTTTTCTTGATAGGTAAAAGGTCCTGAATACAAAAAAGTCATTACAAAATGAGTCTGGACTCAGACTTTTAATATTGATACCATTTTCTCTCTCAAGAGGCTATTTTGGAGGTCTATCACAAGGGACGCCCATTTAGGTTTTATCCCCTAAAACAACATTAAGTAACATTTAATAACACTATAATCAACGTACTAAGTAATTCAATTCAATTTGACAAATATATATTGTATGAGACCACACAAATTTTAATCACTAAGCTAAGTAAGTAAACCTGTCGTTTGTCTCTCTTTCAAACTTTATGTTCTATGGCCAATAACTGCAAAACAAAAGTAAGTTCTACACTTTGACCGCCTTTAAAGACAGACAGTGTTAAAAAACAGTTAACTACTATAAAAATTAGCCATTATCAATGTAACATGAGGACTCACCACAGAGACAGACATTAAAAGTTTGGTAGGCAAACTTGTCACTCAAATAAGCTGCCAATATGCTCTTATCAAAAGTTATGCTACAAAAGGAATTTACACTTCAGATATAATTTTGTCATGTAATCTTAGAAAGAAAAACAAGACATCAGTCATCCTAAACTTCAGAATTACCCAAAGTTCCAAGATCCCCACCAAATATCTGATGTACCCCCTAATACAACACTGCTACAACAGCACATGAACCAAAAGAAAAAATATGCTAGATATGGAAAGGGTTAATGTGTGCAACAGGTAGCAATCATTTTACAATTAAAAAATCATCTTACCAAGACAAAAGTCACAGATTCCCTGGATTTCCTTACCACTACCTCCCTACCTTGTTAAAAAATATGAACTTTTTCTGGCTGAATGAAAGGCTCTTCCTTTGAAAGACTGGATCCCAAGATCCAAGATCCCTCTAGTATTTATGTAACAATACATAAACAATGTATTGTTGAGCTTAAAATAAGCTCAACAATTCTACAAGCCTGACATGATAAAAATGATTCCCCATATAGCTGGGAATAACACCTGGGAAGAGAATTCTGCAGCATCCTTGTTCTTCTATGGTCCCAAAGAAAAGTTTAAGAAATATCAAAACAAAAATAAACCTTAAGCATACAAAATTTCGCTACTGACATACGTAGTTTATTTCTGAAAGTTAAAGAACCGTAGTTTATTTCTAAATGTTAAAGAACTATATTCTCAATACATGCTTTGGGAGACAAGAGGCAAATCTCTGGAATAAGTCTTGCCAGAACATATGCCTGCTGGATATACTTGCCAATGCACTCCACACCTTTCTAACAGTCACGTTTAAACAAAGTAGCCTTTTTTCAAAAAGAGTGGAGATCATCAGAGAATGATTACAGAATCACTCTGTTTTCCTCCAAACTCAGTCTAAAACACAGAGCCAAAGAAAACCACCATAATTCCTTTAGTAATCTTCTAGGTCTCTCAGTTCACCGAATTTCACATGATACAGACAATTCTTTGGCTCCCATACCTTACTCTAAAGACACAAATTCAAATTTCTCAAATGAATATACGGTGAGAATATTAATAAAGTTCTCTTTGACTAGGGGATACAAAAATCAAATTCTTGAACTCCAATAGGGAAACTTTGAGAGGAAAATAGGGCTTAAAGGAGCAAATATTCATAGGCACATATAAGCAAATTCCCTCCAAATCATTACTAAGTAAAAATTTCTTTCAACAAGATATATCTCATACTTCCTTCCCAAAATACAAAATACAGAACTTCTGGCATTCTACCCTTTCTCAATCAATCCCCACCAACCCTCTAAACCTATCAGTGTTACTTGTGTTAAAAATAGAAATCCATAGTTCTACTTCCCAGCTCAAAGCCACAAATCCTGACATACCATAATCTACAAAAATGATACAGAACTAACGTTCCTCAGTTTTGCCCCTAAAATTTACATTCTAATCTAACTTAATCAGATTTATTACAGTGTCAGTATTGCAAAATTAGTAATCCCTGTCATGATGTAATCCACAAAATCCTTTGATTTACAACAGTTTCTATAGAAGTTAAGGTTACATATAAGTCCATTTCCAAACAGGATGAATATTAAGGCTCTAATTGCTTGGCCTAAAAACCAAATGAGATATTAATACATCATCTCTCCTCTGGTATACAGAAAAGCCACCTGAAAAGTTTTAATCACAGTAGGTTCACAAATGGAAACAAAATAGTTATTGTGCTTCAAAATTGGAAAAAAAAAAAAAAAAGGAGAGAGAGAGAGAGAATAAAATACTAACCAATCTCTGGCTGTAACGAATCCTTTCTTCTTCGGGTTCCATCTCTCACTCCTCTGTTGAAATTACTGTAAAGAAACCACTCCAGGGCTGCCTTCCTCTTCCTCCTTAGGAACCAGGTTGCAACACTAAAGAATAATGATATGAGCAGAGATGAGAACTCATCCCCAAACTCAAGCTTTCTTTTCACAGAAAGAAGTATTTAAGATATGTATAAGTTAAAGGCTCTCTGACAAATCTGGTTCCTCTTCATCAGTTTGGGACCCCTCTGCTCTGGGGCAAGTGTTTCCATGCCATGACCAACGTTAATCACATTACAACTGTCCGAGGCCTAGGCAAAAGGAGATGATGTTGGTTTCAGTTCCTTGTGGATGGGCCACACCACTGTTTCTTCCCCACAGGATTACAATAAGCAAGCTTCCCTTTGATGGCAGTAGTAGGGAAAAAAAAAAAAAAACGTGTTGGGGGGGGAGACTTGTATCTATAGAGAACTGACCAGGTGAAGCAGGCACTGAACAAATCCAGATCCCAACCAAATTAGCTCTCTCTCACTGATAATTAGAAATTAAAGGAAAAAAGGGCAGACTATATTAAAAAAGGACCAAAAAATCAGGATACAGAAAGATTCCAAAACAATTTCCCATACCCCTCTAGTAAAGCCGTACACCATCGTTGCCTTCCTTCCTAGACTCCCTGGATCTTTCTCATTCCCAAACCAACACTCCACCCCAACACAATATGTGTACAACTCTGAAACAAATTCAAGAGAGTTGTAAACCAGGGACAAAAATTCCATTAGATCTTTTTGAATAAAGTAATAAAATGAGCGAATCCATCTATAGAAATAAGTAAAATACATCTTTTCCAAAAATTACGACCGATCTGCGCGACGGTCGATCCATAATACCAAGAAAGGTTTTTCTTTTTTTCGAAATATTCTCAAGGATAATGGCTTCCATAGAGAATGCAGAATTTTTTTTTCCTTTTTGCAACTACATTTCAGCCACGTTAATAGCATCCTTTCAAAACTGCTACAAGACCAAAGGACCCAATGACACAGTTGCAAGAGCAGTTCGTGGCAGAGCCCTCCTAGAGGAAACCCTTGTCCCAAGTCGGGAGGGAAAGAAACCGTGTTTGCACCCCCTGGGCGAGGACCGCCGGGGACTGAAAGCAGCCAGGGCCGGAGAGGAAAAATGGCAAATCTCGCCGGGCTCCCCGAAGGAAAGGCGTTTCAATGGTTCACCCATCGGAAAAAGAAATAGAAACTTTACATTAAGACTTTAGATAACACGGTGAACCAAACTTCCAGGGGGGGTGGGGGGGGCTAGGAGGGGGAATCTCACCGGGGATTTTGCTCGTGAGTTCTTGTCCAAGTGAGAAGTAAAAGATTCCAAAAACTGAGAGGAAAAATTAAATCCCAAACGTCGTCTTCGTTTTTTTCCGTGGATCAACCCAGTATCCAGAGAGGGTCAGAGCGACCCGGAAAAGAGGAAACAGTTGCTGAATCAAACCTCCTCTTCAGGCTTCAGAGACCGGGAGTCAGAGGCGTCAGGAGAGGGGAGCGCGACCCCTCGGCGCCGAGCCCGGGGCGCCCCCGCCTCCCCCGGGCCAGCGG